CAGGATGAGAGATGCTCATGGTGTTCTGTCTTCGCGGTACTCTGTCATATAACGTTTTGAAAATGCTGACAGTTTTGGCCACCAGCTTCTCACTTAAACTTGTTCCAACCATTTACCACTCTGTTTGCAAAAGTGATCTTCCCAATGTTTTTTCGGTAGCTTTGTTTTCTTAGTATGAACCCATGTCCTGTGTGTGCGTGTAATTACCTTAGTGTAGTTACAGCATGAAAGCTATGCTCGTGGTGTTCCATCTTCCTAACACTCATTGTCATATAACCTATCCTTGCATTTCTCCTTTACTTTTCCTCTCTGAATCTCTTTGCTGCCTCCCTTTCTTACTTAGACATGTCTGGTGTAATAAACACTGCATGGTACTTTTCCTCATTTCTTAAGTACAGTATCTCTTCTCTACCAATATATACTTAACTGGATTGCTGTTCATAAAAATAATTTTCAGTGGTAAATTTCTTCCTCTCTGAAACCTATCTTCAACTCCTGCTTGTACATTTCATGACTTGGGTACTTTTTACAACCTCTAACACTGTTTCCTTAATTATCTTCTTTCTATCTGAACCCTTTGCTGCCTCACCAAAGGTTTTATCTGGTCTTAGTCCCTAAATCTTTATTTAATTCTTTCCTCTATTAACTTACTCGCTTCCTTTGTTCCCTTTGCTTTCTCTCCCACCATTTCTATTCTGTCCTGAATTTACCTGAATTTATCTTAGGGCCACTCCTTAACGAGGACAGGAAGCCAGTGTCTTGTCAAAAGTCCCCCCCATTTACCCTAATGATCTTTTCCAGTTGTATTTTGAAACCCAACAGTTTTCGCATTTATGGCTTCGGCGGGTAGGCAGTTCCATGGGTTTATAACACTATGGGTGAAAAAGCACTTTCTGTTCTCAGTCCTACATTGTGGTTTGTTGAGCTTGAAACCATTGCCCCTCGTTCGTGTTACATCTGACCTTTTGAAGAAATTGTCCAGATCAACATCTTTCAAATTGCTCAGTATTTTCAAAGTTTTGATGAGATTCGCCCTATCATGCTTGGTTTGCAGTGTTGTTAGCCCAATGGCCCTCAACCGTTCCTGATACAAGAAATGACTTAGCTCTGGATAGATTTGTGTTGCCCAGTGTTGCACCTTCTCCAGAGCAGATGTGTCCTTCTGAAGATAAAAACTCCAAGCCTGGATAAGTTGTACTATGCTAATGACCTTCTCTTCCTCCTCATTCATGTGTTCCTCTAATTCCATAAATCTCTTCCATACAGTTAGGTTGATATCCTTTGGCCACTCCATATCTATCCTATTCATCCCTCATAGCTGTTTTTATGAAACTCCAGCAACACAGCAGTTACACTAGCTGAGTACGGCTTGCATTAATTACATAATGACTCGCCCTCCCATGATGCTGATAGGTGTTGTGATAACCCCTCGTCAATGTTGCTGTACAAGGGCAGATGATGTGGTGGTGAGTGCATCCTCTTGCTCGACTGGTGAGGTCGTGGTTAGTGGTTAGGTCAACCCACCTCCTCTGGTCATTCACAATGTGTGACAACTTTCTTTCAAATACACTATTTCTGCTTTGTTTCTTTGAACTTTTTATGATTTCTGTCAGTTTGCCAGATATTCATTCACTCGTATACACTTTACCACTATGATAATAACCGTTTATCTTTCCCAAATTAATAGAAAACTCTGGAGCTTCCCCAGCCCTCAACCCCCCTCCACAGCCTGCAAGCCAAATCTCAACACAAACACCACGTGCGTGCATGTGTGTACGTGTTTTTGTGTGTAATTACCGCAGTGTAGTTACAGGATGAGAGCTACGCTCGTTGTGTGTCCCGTCTTCCCAGTACTGTGTCGTATGACACACTGATGGTTTTGGCCTCCACCACCCTCTCACTTAGCTTGTTCCAACCGTCTACTACTCTGTTTACAAAATAAAACTTTCTGATATTTTTTCGGCACCTTTGTTTCCTTAGCATGATCTGTGTCCTCTTGTTCGTGAAGTTGCTGGTTTTTAAGAATTCCTCGTTGTCAATTGGGTTGATTCCTGTTAGTATTTTTTAAATGGTGGTTATATCACCTCTATTTCTTCCATCTTCTAGTTTTGGCATGTTTAACGCCTCTAGTCTCTCCTCGTAACTCTTGTTTTGCAATTCCAGAAGCTGTTTTGTAGCATGATTCTCACCTTTTCCAGTTTATTTATGTGCTTCTCGAGATTTGGGCGCCATACAACTGCTGCATATTCTAATTTTGGTCTCACAAAAGTCATGAACAGTTTCTGTTCATGACTTTTGTGGGAAAACCTACCTCGGCGTAATAAAGTGCAGCATGCGTACAATGAGTGCACCCTACCAGCCAAGATGCTCCAACTTGGGGAAAGAAAGAAGCCAAAAACCCCCAACTTTCCCCAAGGTGAGGCGCCACAAGCAAGGAGGACCTCTAAAGGAATGTCACCCGAACACCCCAAGGAAGATGGTCCTGGCAGCACCTGGGAGTGCACAGGGAAGGCAATCCTGAGCACATGCAGCTCCAAGTGCTCTCAACTCCTGGCACATGCAACACACAAGTGAAAAGAACAGCCACAAAGGCAAAACACCTTAATAAAGTGCACTGGGGGTCAGAGCGACAAAGAGGACACCTGACACACACTACCATAGAGAAAAATTGAGGGTTGAGCAGCTGTTTGACCTATAGCTGTGTTTTTCCTCCCTCCAAATGAGGAGAATGGTGGGGCGCATGAATTGACACCCATTTTCATGAAATTTCGATCATTTGTTTACATTGTTGGGGAGAGTGCTATAGCCGTTTCTGGATGTTGTGCTCTTGGTTAAAGAAAGCAGTGGTTTGTTTTGTTTCACTGACTTGCTGGGTGTCTTCCTTGGTGGTGATGTTAACTTAATATATAAATGCCACCACTCCCTGCATCTCTGAGAGGGGGGACCAGGTTCCATCTCTTGGTTCCCAGTAGGCCATAGAACTCCTCAACTGATGGGATATATTAGTATAACACTGTCAGAGATGTCCAAGAAACCAGAGATGCTTCAGGAAACCACAAGGAGCTCCCCCAAGAAAAGAGCTGTCAACCCCCTAAGATGAATCCAGAACCTCATAACATAATCAAAATGGCAATGCTGATCAGAACCCAAAGCAGAGTCCATCTTGGAAGCATGGCCCAAATTCTGCAGGTGTTGGTCCCTCACCCAGCATTGGTCCCTGCTGCCAAACCTCTTCACAAGCATCTGAAAGGGAAACTCAGGACGAGGAACTTCCAGAAAGACAAATCTACAGGACTGAATGGCAAATAACCCCTGAAGGAAGTCATAGAAATCTCATATCTATCAAGAGAATTAGAAAAACCCCTCTTCAGTAAGCATACAACCCCACTCGAAAAGAACAAAATACCAGAAGGAATCAAAAGATATCTAAAGGCTTAATTGAGGCTCACTCCAAAACCCCAGTAGCCTGCCATAAAAGCTCCAGGGCAGAGCCAAATCTTTATGCAATGCTTACAAGTAGGAAAACTTCATTATTTTGGCAGGACTTTAGGACTCGACTGCCTCCTCACTCGAGCAAGGGAATTGGAACAGAATCAGGAGGGGTACCACATCTTCTGGGGACAAAAGAGAAGAGGCCAGAGCCGAGCTGGAGATCACCAAAATCTCCAATTCCAGGTCCCTAAACATCATGCAGGGCAATTCTGAGGTACTCAACCGAGCACAAAACTGTGCTCAAGCTCAGCCAAACTGAGCTTGTAAAGAGGCAGCTGTCTGATATACTTCAATTGCAAAAGCAGAAACAGATAGGATAAGAAACTGTGGGGAACAAACCCCACAGGAATCAGGGTTGTAAATATTGCTGACCCAACAGGCAGCATGGCAGAGGCAGAAAGAATAAGTGTCGCCACACAGCAAAGGGGACAAACACCCTACCAACTCGTAATTGGTGAGAGTGGGCTCAACGGGCCTTCCTTTAGGCATAACTCACCTCGTCAGAGACTCACATGGGAATACTAGGGTCGGTTTGGCCGGTAATAAGCCAAACAGCTACTTCCAGGCACTGGGGATGCCTGTGCTTGGAAGCACAGGTTTCCTTAAAGTGCTTGGAGGCTGAAAGAATGAAAACAAAAAACAATCCAATGGACTAGGACTGCAAATGGTGACCTCACCGTGCCCTACAAACAAAGCATTTGAGTATCAAGTGCACCCTGAAACAACCGACTTGAATGGCACCAACCATGGCCCTAAACAGAGAATTCAAGAGACCCCTGAAATACTTGAGTTAAGGAACTCCACTTCAGTTGCCAGGCATTGAAAAAGCAACCTCCTACACACATCTGAGAAGGCACCCTATCAGTGCAAGGGCAACGCTAAACGAACACCCAGGGAAGAAACCTTTACATACATGCATGCAGTTCAAAGTGCAAAATGTCCACACAACACCTGATAGAAAACACTCATGAAACAAATACAATATTGGAACAATAACAAGGAAATGGCCCCCACAGGACAAGTCCTAGAGTTGCCAGCACTTAGCTCAAGAGCACAGGACCCACCGCACGAGATGGTGACTTTTGGAGAACTAGCAGTTTCTAGGCTTTGAGTCTTTTGAACCCTGCAACTGTCTGTAAAGCTTTGCTGACTTTCTAGATGTTTTCCAGGTGAAATGGTGGCATGTCATTTGTTCTCTGTGTCTCTGAGAATAGGGCCAGGTTCTGGTTCTGGTCCCCCGTAGGCCAAACTGAACTCCTGTGACTGATGTGACTTGTAATCTGGAGCACTCTCAGAAAGATAGCTACAGGGAGCCCCCAAAGCGGTTCCCCCAAGAAAGAGCTGTAAGTATTGTGCTACTAAGGTCCATACATAAGCCATCACATTTGACACAGAAAGAAGTCAACATAAACAAGAGGCAAGCCATGACAACCAGTAAGGCCCTAAATCTTATCCCAAATGCACACTAATATGAAAGCATTATCCTAAGAACTTGAGCACAAACTCACCTCCATGTGTCTGTCACATACGACAGGATGCCCATTGACATAAAGCCAAGATTTGCTATAGACATCATGCGTCACGGGTATGCCTCTTTTATCCTCGTTACCTTTACCTGCAACAAATTTACAATTGACTCAGAGCAAAAAAAAAAAAAAAAATTAAATACTTGTATGTACTTGGCAGCTTGAGGAGCCTGTTGTGATATAGATGAGCCAAGATACATTATCTTATAGGCACAGCAGAATCAAGATTGGCTGTTGGCAGGCATTAAGAAATGAGGCTAGAAAAGGTAGATAATACAGAATAGTTATATAGGAAGCTAAGAGAGAGAGGAAAAGAAAACAGGAGCATTGAAGGAGGGTCAGAAAATTAGGTTTTGGAAGATATGGGAAAAGACTTGGTGTTGGAAAAGACAGAGGGAGATGAGACACTGGAATATGAAATGCTCCAAGATATAAGGGAAGATGATGTACTCACCTAGTTGTGCTTGCGGGGGTTGAGCTCGGCTCTTTTGGTCCTGCCTCTCAACCGAGGAAGATGTGGTGAGGAAGATGTGCTGAATGAGGCAGAGAGGAATGGCATACTAAAAGAGGCAGTGAATGATGCCTGATGAAGTAGTGGATAAGATGTTGTGAGAGGCAAGAGATGTAATGAGCTGCTGAAAGAGACAGGGAAAGATTGAGGTTCTATATGAGACAGGGGTCTTGGGATATTCTAAAGGACCTGAAAGAAGTTGGGGAAGATGAAGTTCTGAGAGAAATGTATAACAGGGAACTTGACATGGTAGTTGCAGGGCACCCTAAAGTAAAGAGCAAAAAGATAGGAATACAACAAAGAAAAAAAAAAAAAAAAAAAAAAAAAAAAAAAAAAGTAGTTCCAGGGAGATAGAATCATAGGAGAAAGAGCGTAGTATCAAGGTCAAGGTTAATCAATAAGTCAGGCTGGGTGAACTGGGAGCGGAGGCGTAGTGGCAGCAGCAGCAGCAGCAGCTAGGCCATCGCTGCCATTATTGCCACAAAGATCAGTGTACTGCCCACATCAATAACAATCATACTACAAAAATTGTAAACAAATACTAATACACATAGAGGAAAGCATATGAACAGACACAATAATAACACACTGACAATATTCACTGCTAGGTCTACTCTCTGTTGTTATCAATTTGTAAGAACTACTGCAGTATATAGTAAAGATACAGTACACAGATTATGAAAGATGGGATCAATAAAACACAGGAGAAGGACATAGGATTTGCTCGATCCAACCTTAAAGGAGACTTTTGTGGGGCGGATCAATATATGCACACCTGTACCCAGTAACCTCACCAATCCCAAGCTAGGTCACGACTGAGTGGGTACATCGATAAATGTAGACATGTTCTTAGTAACCTTACAAGTGCCAGACCAGACAAAGCTTGAGTGGAGTAGGTTAATACGTGTAGCTCTGTACCCAGTAACCCCCACTAGCACCATGTCCAGCCAGGAGACTTGTGTGAAGAGGAGCATGAATATAGATATAAGGTTACCCAGATCATGTAAATTTTGTAAATGGTGGATCATTACTGTAATTTTAAACCTTGGGAAATAGTTTCCTATTGCTGGTACTGTAACAGTAAACTTGCTAGGCCAACAGAGGTCCCTTTACACCAATGGGTGACCTTCCCCATGAAGAAGCCCACAACAGTTGCCTAACTCTCAGGTACAGTGTGCCAATTTATTGCAATGTAACCAGTCATATTCAGTGTAAGGACAATTCCTAAACACCTCATTCTGCTCGAGAATCGAATTCAGGACTATTTGGTTTTATGATGGCTACATTTGTGTGAACCTGATCAATAAATCTAGGTTTGTAAATGATGCCATCCAGGCAGGCGGCCATGACAAAATAGTGTCTAAAGTGAATCAATATTTGCAAAAATGTACCAAATCATCCCAATAGTTAGCCAAATTCTGAAACAGGGTTGTGAACAGTTGAACACTAGAAACAAACCAACAAAGTTACCTTCGCAGCCCATAGTCAAATGGTTCAGCAGAGATTAAGTCAATAAATCTCAGTTTGTATAAAAATAACCCCCATTTGGTACTCTTATATGAGTTGTGTGCTATTGATTAATAAATGTTAACCTGCTCACTGGACCCATCATTGACAGCAAGTCAAACTGTCTTCTCTTGTTTACTTTCTAATTCATTTATTCCACTGACTGAGGAAACAAAGCCGAGAACCTGAAATGGCCTATAACCCTTCTATTATAAACATGTTTTACTGACCTACTGGGTCTCTTCATTAGCACAAGTTCACTCAATGAACTAAATGATTTTGGAATAATTTTGTATTGCATTACGTTACTGCACTTCACTTTAAATAAACAAAAGTTAAACGAAATGTAGATTTGAGTTAAAAAATATAGCTAAACAAATTACACTGATTATAACCAGAACAATTCATAGCAGACTTTAAGAACACCGAATCTTAATGGCAACAGTCATCAAAATCACTAAGCAGTCAATATTATATATGGAGAATCCAACTATAATCATCCTAATCTTAACCCCTCACATCTCAGATTAAGCAGGCAAATAAAGTGATGGAACTGGAGCAATAGTGTGTCTTACCATGCCATGTTACTTCAACTGTGTGTTGGCCTTTGTCCCCAAACACCACCCACGTATGGTCTTCCGAGAGTGCCAAGTGAACATCGCAGTAGCCAAGTGCTTGACAAGCTGCTACAACCGCTAACGTTGTACCCGAGCTGTCAAGTTTGGCACCTGCAAGCATAAACAACATGTAAATAATAAAAAAGATAGAATGCTATCTGAAATCCAAGCTAGTACAGTAAAATTTGTGGCATTTAACACTAAGATAGATAAATAGAATGGCAACAACATCTGCAACCCTTAAACCTGTTAAAAGGGGACCATGCACTTTTTGTCCTGGGCTGACCGAAAAGGTTGTCAATCTGTCTTAGCAAATCTGTAAATATATGGATGACGTAACAAATTGAGCACCGAATGTAATGAAATGCCCTTTCTGGTGTGCCCTTCAGCAGCTCTCAGTGGTGGTATAGCCAAGCCTTATAAAGTGTACCAGGCCTCCGAGACCCACATTGACCTACCAGGAGCTAGCACCAAAATCTGGCTCTTACTATGAGGTGACCGGAGCCTGGGAAACACAGATCTACCCAAAATCAAAGAAAACCCACCAGAAGAGTTAGATGTCTACAATAGGCTACTGCTTGAATAACGAAATAAAGTTTAATCTAACCTAACCGTTTAGTAAGGTTCAGTCCCAATCTGTTTGAACATTGTCAATGAATGCACATTATACTGAACATCTTTCGTTGTTAGTTTCCTTAAATTTGTGCATTATGTTCCTCACTTAACATATGATTCATTGCATGTGGCATGCAAAAACAATCTAATCACTCATAAAAATATACTTCTGGCAATGCCTAAATAAAAAACACAAAGATGGAAGGCTGCCAATTAGTTACATGTAGGATAGAATACCAAATGTCTTCATATAACCTTTCAAAGGCAGTTTCAATGACCCTCACATTGTGGCACAAGTACAATTAAACATTTATAACAATATTACAAAAGATAAAACACAAATCAAATTAAATAAGGCCATTATGATTAAAGTAACAATGTAGTAGCTTCTTACCATAAAAAGGTTTTAACTATTATGTAATGTCAAAATGAAAGAAAAGTATTTTGACCTAAAATATTTTGCAAATGATCAAATATTTCACATATACAACCTCTTGAGGCCTACCATACATTACCTATATTAAAGGGTAATGATTGTAGCTACTCCCACTTTATCTAATCAATAATACAGATGAGCATGTAGTTATTTTTTAAACAAATTCAAATGCAGTACCAGATAGGCTGTAGGTGAAGGCACTATCGATAAAACCTTTGGCCAATTGGCTGGAATAAATGCCACCTTTGTAAAAAAAAAATTATAACGAGGGTAGAGACACGTAGGATAAACAAGAGTTCAAGTCCAATTTAAACTGAGAAAGATATCTCCATTACACAAACTTTCAAACTCTACTTTTACACAGCAGTTCCTTAACCATTTTGTCACCATTCAGTAACACAGGCCAAGTACCTAAAAGGTTTCAGCTAATTAGTCCTTGAAACGTGAACAAAACAAGATGATATTGGTCTTAAATAATATAAATCATTCATAAAACAAGAATGCAGTGTATAGGCCTAGAGTGCTGCCTAATATATTTGGCTAGACCATAGTAAAGTTACATCAACACATTTAAGTACATATAGGGACACCACTTTATAGGGTTTTCGAGCTGAAATTTCATATATAAGGTCCTTACCATGTTTAATTTCAATATCCACTTGGGGTGACTTTTCTTCTGTAGCTTCAATTAAAACAGCCCCTCAAATCTGAGCATGACAAAAAAAATTTACGTTAGGCTTAACAACATACTGTATACAGAATTGTATACCATACACACATTATTGTTTTACACGACCTCACAATCCCAATGACAAACATCATTACAGTATCACAACTTCAGGTTCCCCAAACATTTGGAAACCCCATAAAGACAGTCAGTGTCTGAGAGTACGGTATACCGGTATTGTAGCTACTTCACAAATCAAAGACTTGGTATTGTTCGGGTTGTGTACCAGATGTGCATTCTCGATTTTCCACATTATCCTCAAGCTGCATGCAATATTAGCCTATCAATTTTGATAAATTCAGAGCATTAATTTATTATTATTGGAAGGTCTGATAAAGTTAGAAATGTTCATCAAAGAAAATCATTCAAAATCTCACATTTCAAAAAACCAGCGTTGAATGTAATGAAACGCCATTTTCTGGGTGAGTCCCGGAGGCTTCCCAGAGCTATCCAGGCTGAATGGATATGTATAACTTTCTGGCATCAGTCAATGTGCTTGGAGTTCTTGACTACCGGGGACCACGAGCCAGAACCTGGCCCCCTCAGAGAGGCACGAGGAGCAATGGCCTACTGACCCCCCCCCCCCCCCCCCCCTTTGTGGTTGGGAGCATTCTATGTTTGCCATCGACCAGGACAGGCACCCAGAAAGGTGGGACAGGCTGTCCACCAAGACATTGGACACCCACCCGAATGTGAACCACCAGGAGAGCCAAACCCCGAGAACTCAGCAGACGAGTCACCCAAAGCGACCAGCCCCAAAGAGCCAAGGACTGCATGGAATCCCCACGGTTTAGGCAATGAACCACCGGGGAACAGTCCGAATGGAGCCTGATCGTCGATCCGCAAGTGACCCGAACCCTCCGGAACGACATCCACACTGCACCGAACTCCCGCACCATGCTGTGAGCCAGACGGAGGGACAGATTCCACCGCTCCTGGCCGGCCTGGTGAGCACTGGTCACAAAGCCCCAGCAAAGAGACGACGAGTCCGTGAACACATCTAGCGAGGGCTCAGGTAGGCACCAAGACACCTACATACCGCAGCAGGCGACATAAGGCCCCAGGGGTCGAACCCAGTAATCGCAAGAAAGGCGGAAGGGACGTCCCTGAAGGAACCAGAACAGCCAACAAACTCTCGAGGAACCGCCGCGTGACCTGGGAACCCCTCAGGAACAGACGCAGGTGGGAACGCAGGCGAAGCAGAGCCGCCGGAGGAAGAGATAAGGAAGCGGTAGGAATGTCCCACCGAAGACCCAGCCAAGACCGAACCTGAGAGGGAACCAGATGGGACTTCCTCCAGCTCATCAAGAACCCGAACCTGCGAGCTGGGAAAGAACCAAATACCTGGCAAGCAGACACACGGACTGGCCCAAACCAGCCAGTCGTCGAGGTAGGCCAGAACCTAAACACCCAACAGACGCAGCCGGGCCACCACGACCCGAGTAAGCCAAGTGAACACGTAAGATGCCAGATTCAAGCTGAACAGAAGGCAATAGAACCGAGACAAAAATTCCGGAGCCAGAGGCACAAGACTTTCCCAGAATCGCATCAGCCAAGAACTGTAGGTTGGGTCGCCAGCGCGAGGGGTCTGGGGCTCCCCCTTCCTCCTCCCAGGGAGGGAGGGGGGGGGGGGGAGATTGCGTAGACAGCAGCACGGCAACATGATGACGTCATGCTCGTTTGCTAATTTTCGTTTGGGGAGTTTGGTCCACTTGTTCGGCTTTCGGTAGCAATAGTTTCACCAGAATAAGGGTTTGTTTTTGGGGCACCTACCTTTCTGGGTACCTGTCCCGGTCGATGGCAGACATAGAATGCTCCCAACCACAAGAGAGTTTCTATAGGCCATTGCTCCTCGTGCCTCTTTGAGGGGGCCGGGTTCTGGCTCGTGGTCCCCGGTAGGCAAGAACTCCAAGCACATTGATGCCAGAAAGTCATACATATCCATTCAGCCTGGATAGCTCCGGGGAGCCAACGTGGCAAAAAAGTGCATAAGTTCCAGTATACCATATGCTTGCACTATATTGTAGTACTGAATATTTATAATGTAAACACAGCTCTGAAAATACTCAGAGCTGTGTTATATATATACTCAGTATATATAATGACCGAAATGCATTTCACATTTCGGGCAATGCCCTTGCCTGAAACGCTGTGCGTATTAGTGGCTTTAGGTATTGTATGTACTAGTTCTATCTATAAATCCAACATTATGTTTGTACCTCATCTTCCATGTATGTACTTTTACCTGAATAAACATTTTAAATTTTTGAATTTTGAATTTGAACAATCACCGAGATAAAATTAACAAAAACTTTTGCTTGTCGTTAGCTGTTATTTATTTGCAAGAACAAATTTAGTAAATAAATGCCTTTTGCTCAACTCTCCCATACTGGTGTCATCAGTGAACAAGCAGCAGCAAGCACAACTACAAACACATCAGTGACCTCATTACTAACACCAGGAATTGCCATTTCTTGCTGACATTGAGTAACACTTGACAAATCTTAGCCGAGTTGCATCTCATCCAACAGACAGAGTACTGTATTGAATCATAGCACTGTATTTACCATATCTAAATTATAATATGCCAAGTAGACTAAACCACATACCACAAGATGAGGAGACGACGACGTTTCAGTCCATCCTGGACTATTATCAATTCAATTGTCAATTGAGTTGATAAGGGGGTCCAGGACGGACTGAAACATCGTCGTCTCCTCATCTTCTGGTGTGTGGTTTAGTCTTCATATCTTCAGCCACATTATTGTGACTCATAGTCTGCACATGCCAAGTAACCCCACTGTAAGGTTTTTGTGCCACTCATGATGTCAACTTGTTCAATCAGATGAAGGATATAACCCTTTCTTTAGTTAAGTGAACCTCATCAAGCCAGTTAAGGACTTCCTGGCCCTGCCATATACCTATGACAAACTGACATCCCTTAATAAAACAAACTAAACAAATACAGTACTGTAATAGTTATAACAGTAATGGTGAATTTTTTTTAATTTATTACAATATTATTCTATCTTCTTAGAGTACCTGTATCTACAGTATTTAAAAAACAGCAATTTTTTGCTGTTTTTTTTTTAAACACCCCTAAAGAGGGGTTTAGCAATGAAACCCCTCTTTCTAGCCGGGTCTCAGTGGCTCCCTGAAGCTATCTCGCTGAGGCAGCTCCACACAGACGTCACATTAACCTTTGCAATCTTGAATGCTCTACTGGGGACCTAAGCCAGAAACTGTCGCCCTCCACAGAGGCACTGGGAGCAGGGGATAGTTACAAACACCCCTCACCAAGGAAATATCCGAAAGTAAGCAAAACAATACAGA